CAAGGTTTGGGGCCAAGGGGAGAGTTCGAACTTCTTTTGGGGAGCTCGGGTCACAGGTCCCTCTTGGGGGAGCTCGGGGTTCATCTTCTTGGAGCTCGTGCCTTAAGCACTGCCGTGCCGAGCTGTCGTTCTTTTCAAGTCACCCTTGGCTGCTTCCACGTATCGGACGATCAAGAGGTCGGGTCAAATTTACCTCCATCACAAAATGTCCTAAAACGACCGTCTTTACTATAGCCCCTTCGGTGAACTTCAGTGGAGAAGACAATAAAATGTAAAGAAAATGGTAGTTTGGGCATTTAAAAAATTCCAAATAGTCAAGCGAGAATCTTTTTCGAAGTTAAGTGAGGGAGTATTAACGGAGGGGGGGTTTGTCTAACAGCCAAAGTACAGAAGGAGTCTTTATCATAAAAAAGTGCAGAGGGTCTTTGTCACAAAGACTATATAGTACAAGAGGGGTCCGTGTAATTAAACACTATAAACACTGGTACTCTCGCGAGTTGAATTGGAGATGTACAGAACGCGTGTAAAAGTATATCTCTAATCCTACTCGCGAGTGAGTAGCAATTTTTAACACCTACGCCTTATTTTCTCTCTCTCTGCATTTGTTTCGAAACTTTTTTAGGGTTAGGGTTAGGACTTAGGAGCATTAGAGAGAGAGAGGAGAAGAAGAAGCACAACTATGTCGTCGCCAATAGAATCCGTTCAATGTTTCGGCCGGAAGAAAACGGCTGTCGCCGTCACCTACTGTAAGCGAGGCAGGGGTCTGATCAAGATCAACGGATGTCCAATCGAGTTAGTGGAGCCGGAGATTCTTCGATTTAAAGCCTACGAGCCCATCCTTCTGCTGGGGAGGCACCGATTCTCCGGCGTCGATATGCGAATCCGAGTGCGAGGTGGTGGGCACACCTCGCAGATATATGCAATTCGGCAAAGCATAGCCAAGGCATTGGTTGCTTACTACCAGAAGTACGTGGATGAACAAGCGAAAAAGGAGATCAAAGACATCCTGGTGAGATACGACCGGACGCTACTTGTTGCCGACCCTCGTCGTTGCGAGCCCAAGAAGTTCGGTGGACGGGGTGCGCGTGCCAGGTTTCAGAAATCTTACCGTTGAAAAACTAGGTTTGTTTTTGAAGAAATTAGTCTATCTGGAGTCCAATGGTTGGCTCAGTCTTTTTGGTTCAGGTTGTTTAGGGTTTTCATAAGGAGCAATCCAGTGATGTTAGCCATTTTTGAAGTTTGCTTTTGAAAATTTTGAGCATCGACTATATAGTGTTTTAAGTTATCAAGTCCTAGAATTTTGAATTCTATAATGACTGATGTGATTGTTTTGCTTGTTTAACACAAGTTCCGATTGCAGTAGATTATGTTTCAAGGCAGTTTCTTTTTAATGTTTCTCATGGACGAGAATTGTGTTATAGAGTTGCAAAACTACGATGTCTAATGGATTGAATCCTATCTCAGTTTTATTGTTTGCGTCTAGGTTCAGGTTGTTGGAAATTAGAATGTCACGCTCGATGTCTTTTGAGTTTTTGATAGATTAGGGCTTTGAACTTCATAATATACGATTAGGTTTTAGGGTTTCTTTTATTGACTGTAATTTGAGTCTCCTGCTGACCAAGAAGCCACCATTTCGGTCTGTCTTTCCTTTCCTTCCCAAGGAAACAACTGTAGCCTGTACCTTAGAAGGGCCTTTAAGGGATGTGGAAATTGCTGAAGTGACCAATCTTCTTCACTCCCTAAAAGAGTCTACTATCTCCCCCTCGGCCCCTGACCAATGTGTTTGAAATCTACACGCCACTGGTAGCTTCTCAACTAAAGTCCTTTTCAAGGCATTGACCACATAGGTGCTTAATACCCATGTCCCTGCAAAGAAGATTAGTGTTTTCACATTCCTTATAGAGTTTGTTTCTTTGTTTGGAAAACTAGTCTGAAGAGAATCTAAAACCTTAGATCTCTTACAAAAGAAGAATGGTGGCTGTCTCTATATTTCTCCCCGCACTTGTATTCTCTGCCTTTGAAGTGGAGAATCTCCAATCATTTATTAATACACTGTCAGGAAACACAAAAAATTTGGAACCATTTCTTAAACCTTTCTGGGTATAGCTGGGTTGCTCCAGGGGCTGTCATGGACTTTTTTGATAATGGAAAGGTAGGGGGCTCAATAGAAGGGAAAAAAATTATTGGACAATAGTAATCCATGCTGTTATGCAGAGGTGGTTGAGATGGAAGAAACAGCCAAATTTTGATAACAAGGCTAGACTGGTTGAAGAGCTGATTTGTGAGTCCTGGGTTGTAATCCACATCTCACCTTTGCAACATGTGGATTGTGAGTCCTGGGTTGTTCCATGGAATCTCTATAAAAGACTTGCAGAGAAATGTTATCAGCTACCCTTACTCTTCCCATAGCAATCTGTCCTTCCATCTGGGGCCTCCCAAGTGTCAGGGGGGAGTGGTGAAATTAAATTTTGATGGCAGTGCATTAGGGAATCCAGGTGATGCAGGAATCGTAGGTGTGATAAGTGGAGGGTTGGAAACATTTATTGTGGGATGTCCCAATAGGAACTGGGATCCTACAAAGGCTGAGGTGCTGGCTGCTCCCACTGGAATTAGGATGGCCATAGATTTCGGTTTCTCCGACTTAACTATTGAAGGTGATTCAATTCCCTGGAAACTGAAGCAAGAGGCATCCTTGATGACATGAATGCATAGTCTGGTTTGGCTTTCTGGGAGTCTTTGTTTAGTTACAGAAATCTCCCATTGTAACCTCCGTGTTTCTTTTCTCCACTATTGTACATCTTGTCATGTACATTAATGAAATCTTTGCTACATTTTCTCAAAAACAACAGCCTATTTTACTAGTTAGTGGTTTTTTAGTTTTTATACTAGGAAACCTAGCCACTATCTTGACTCTACTCGTACAGATCATTGGGGTTTGGGGGGTTGGCTTTTGAATGGTTGTACTTTGAATTTGATGGTCCCAATTTTCTCATAACTGGATTCAGCGTTCCCCTTGAAAGGCAACCATTTAGTACTGAATCACCTGACAGTGAAGGTAGATCTTCCTTGTTCGGACCATCTCTCTGAGAAGTGTACTGAGTTGGATGACTATGATCTCCTAGCCATAATGTTATAATGTTCTCTGGTTTTATGTTTTTTTTAATAAATGAGCTTATATTTTATTAATTCTAAAGATAACATCATTACAAGCATCCCTTAGAGAGGCACGGGATGCTACCTCCTATAAAAAAAACAGAATATTACAATTGAGCGCAAGGAATGTTTGGGAGGAAAGGAATGCTAGAATCCTTCAATGACAAGGAAAGGGATGAGACTAGCAAAGGGAAAGCACTCTAAATAGGGCTATAAATTGGGTAAAGTCCTTGGACCTCTTTTTACCCTTCTCCTTTGATGACATCTGGAGAAATTGGGAGCAAGTTGCCAACAGTTCTACTGCAAGAAATAAACCTTTGGTGGATTGGAGACCTCCTGAAGAAGGTGTTATTAAGTTAAATTTTGATGGCAGTAGTATTGGTAACCCAGGGCCGTTTGGAATTGGAGGAGTCTTCAAAAATGCTGAGGACCAGGTTGTAGCCCTATTTTCTGGTCCTATAGGCAAGGAACACTCAGTTAATGCAAAGGGATACTTGTTAATTGAGGGTGACTCTAAACTGGTTATTGGTTGGCTGAAAGAGCTGGAAACTGTAGTTTGGTCCTATAGGGGGGCTACAAGAAGGTTCGAATGCTTAACTACTAATATAACAGTCAGAGTTCAATGGGAAAGAAGATCAGCAAATGGGATGACAGGTTTTCTAGCCAAACAAGGGAGATATAGGAACCATTTCTTTTGGGCTCAATTGTAAGCTGTGTGATGTAGTTTAGAGGCGGCATCTCACGCCTCTTTATGGGGAGCTTGCTCTTTGTAACCTTTTACTTGTGATTTTTAATCAATAAACTTATATTACTTATCAAAAAAAATTGAGCGCAAAACAAAGATTGTCATTCTTGGCTGGGCCATCTCGGTGAGAAATGTAATGAATTGGCATACTGTGATCTCCTACCCATAGAGTTCTCTGTTTTTCTGTTGATCACAAGTCTTGTTTTTTTTCTATTTTGATAAAAAGTTCTTTGGTTTAGACTTTTTTATTCGCTAGTTTTTCTTTCCTTTATAGCTTTTTTATTTACTTTTTAAAGTTGAAAAGGAAATCTTGCCTTTTTTTTGCCACCTAGTCCTGATTGTATGTATAGGTAGGTAGCCTTGATATGGATTGTTATTAAAGTAGCCTTTGGATGGATCTACATTCTCGTATCTAGATTCAGGCCGCCCCCTCTCCCTCAAAAGAACTTGATCATTTAGGTTGACCGTCCATTTGATTGGTGAATAGCATCCAATGCTATTTTCATCATAGGAGATGGATGAGGTGAGGTGACACGTTAGGGTCCAGTTAACAAAAGATTACATGTTTTGAATTGGAGATTCAAGCATTGTAGCATGCGTAGCATGCATATTGACAGTGGTACTCAGCTGCAGAATCAAATTAATGACCGGTCACTCTTTTTGGGTGGGCATTTTCTCCAATAACGTGGTATCTTGTCAAGATGACAATTTTAGGGCGGGATGGGTTTTGGGATTCTATAGCCCGTATGGGTTCGGGTAGGGTATAGTATTAGGCTAAACCCAACCCTCCCTGACCCGCATATTGTTCGAAAGCATATGAACTTTAAATATTAGGTGTTGAATTTAATAATATTTTGAATTTTATGTAAATGATAATTGATAGTTTATGTGTTTCTTACATATATTAATCAAATAATTGGAAATTTTGCTGTTTTTTCATGTTATTTTACTTTTTTATTGCTTATATATAACAAGAAATAATAAGAAATTAGATGTGGGTTTAAGCCCAACCCAACTTACCTTTGAATGTGTGGAGGGTAAGATTGGAGAGGATTTTGCATTTTCATGTGCAGGGTGTTTGGGGTGCGTACAGGTTGGGAAGTTTAGGAGATGGGTAGGGTCTAGAATTTTAAGATAGGTAATAATCAATAACAGTATTGCCTCAGCATTTGCACAAACTTCGGCACGGCAGCACCATACAGTGCCCCTATTTATTTAGGTTGTAGGGGTGGTACTAAGATGTGGAGCTAGTGAGCTATCTAGTAATGTCAAAAAAAAGAAGGCTATCCTTTTTTATCATGGTATGGTCTTGAATGAGTTGCTGTGATTTGTTTCATCTCAGCCTATAGCATATCCCCTTCTACTATGTTGAGCTTAAGAATTAACACTTTTGCGTCATCCCGCTACTTGTGCTATGGAGCTTCGTCCCTTGCACGAATAACAGAAGTTGTGGAACCACTGATTGCCGGTTTTAATCCACAAATAAAGTTGGGTTTGACTGGCTTTTTCTTGTCAAGGTTCAAAGTATCGATACGATATGTATCGTGTTGATGACTTCTCGATATGCCCCTCCAGGGGTTGTATCGGGTCAGACATTGGTTTAGATGGTAGCCGAGCTTTAAACCAATAACTCTGAACCAATTTTGAAAAAAATAAATAAAACCTAAAAAAAATACTGATACAGACCGATACGCATTGATACTTTGAACCTTGTCTCTTGCAAGTTAGCGGGTCTAAGATGGATCTCACCCTTCTCGTTCATGTGATTCCAATTTAAAATTGTTTGTTGCTCAACTACTTGAGTTTGAATCTTTTTCAAAGCGAATAAGCAGTCAGTCGGTATGGTTTTCTCATTTTCTAGGTTCAACTGGCCCTGAATTGAGAACATAATAATAGTACAGGAGATATTTCCAATGTGCACTGTAAAAACTGAGGTTGGTGTGAGACAAGCTGAGGAGCAAATCTGGATTCAGTGATATTTCATTTGTGAGGAGCAAATCAAATCCATATTCAATGATGATACTGCAAAAAATTCGGATTTCATCCTCGCAATAATGGTCTTCAGACTGTTCTCACAACACGACTGTGAAGTATTGTGTGAGGACATCTTTGTGCTGACAAAATACGGATTCAGCTGCAGCAGCTGGCCCAGCCGATCTGATCTGAAAACTGGACCGGAATGATCCTTCTTCGTTCGGATGAAAATGAAAAGATTTTTTTGAACAAGAGAATTTCGTTAATTCAGCAAAATAATCTTTTTAGGCACAGAAATCATGCTTGAAGTACTTGTTATGCGCCACCGATTTTTATCCGGTTCATTTATCAGTAAATAAGCTTGGGAAAGTTGGTCAATGGGAATCTCTTTTCCATCGACTAACTTACAATGTTCTTTTTGCATTTATTAATGGGCTCATAGTAAAATAAGTTTTATTTAGGTAAAATTTATCCATCAACTGTACTTTAGGCCTATGAATTTTGACGCTAGGTTGAACCGTCATTCTTCTTATATTAAATAATAATAATATATTTTATTTAATAAAAAATATATACAATATTTTTCTTTATTCTTTTCTTTTTTTCAAGTAATAGTGAGATGTTTATTATTTTTTAGTTTTGAAGGTTTTTAATATAAATAAAATATTTTTTTATTGAATAAAAAATAAAAAAAATGTTTTTAAATTTCTAGTCGGGCTCGGGCTCGGGCCTGAGTGTATTCTGTTGATACATATACAAAGCCCAGTCTGAACTCGGCCTGGCCCAGCCCATGAACAGGTCTATTCATGGCCATGTGGACATTTCTAACTTACCCAGGTATGATGTCTAAGCAACTAGAATGCCTAAACATCAAAAGCGAGACTGATTCTTTCTCGGGTGTTACATCATTCTTACCAATGTTTTAAAAACTGATCCAAAACCGGAACCTTGGCCACCGGTTTTTGAGTCAGTGGTTCAACTGTCTAGTTCAAATAGATGGTCCGTTCTGATTTAAAAAATAGTCAAAACCGTTGTTTGGATTGATGGGCCAATGGTTCAACTGCCCGGGTCAGTGAATCACTGATCAAGTCAACATTTTTTGGCCCAGGAACAGTTTTAGGGTGAAGCAGAGCCGGCTGTTTGGATGCTTTTCAAGCTGAACGGTCCAACCATCTGGGTCAACAATGCTTTGAAAACCTTGGTTCTTACTTTTAGAATTTATTAAATTGAACCCATATTTATTTTTGGTGTGAGAGTTCCAGTGTAGTGTTGTGATCAACAAGTGAAGGAATACCGCCTAGTAGCAAAAGCGCACACACAATCCATTCCCAAGACTAGTACACAACATCAGAGTAAAGAAGTTCAAATATGTGGCAACGACGGTCTCAGCACTAGCCTGCAAGCCCCCAATGAAACATGAACATGCCAGCGACGGAAATAGCATCCCGTTTTCCATTTTTTTTTTAAAATATCAGTGGCGTATCCGCGTTGCATTGGGAGTAGCAAGGGAGTGCTGTAACTTTGGTCATAGTAGATGTGTTCTTTGTTACAGGTCAAAGCCTGTTGAAACACACTGCATTGGTCAGTTTTTTTTCTTTATTATTTGATTACCTCGGGTAGGAGACTCGGAAGGGAACCACAAGAAGCAATCGAACTGATTATTGAAAAGCAATCAAATCTCAGTCTGTTACTGTAACTACAACCTGTTACGTATGATTACAATGTAAACCCATTCAACATCCTTATTTCTAACATGAATTAATGATAAACTTACAGCTATAACTAGCAACTGTATCTTGCAATCGTGGTTGCACATTTTGGCTCATCTTTGTTTGGCCAGCTTTCCTTCAATCCACAGACCTGGATTGGCCGCTCAATCTTATACTCTGCAGCAGCTTCTTTCTCCAACTGCAAACAGTAAGACTTGAAAGTTTCTGTGGTAACGTGGAGTCTAAATTCTAGACTGAACAGGAACTTCATCTCCATCCTGTTCATCTCTGCAATAGTTATTCCTCCCACTCTTGCATAATAGGCATTGTTGTAGTACCTGACAAGTTTCAGAGTGGTCTGTTATTTGAGATGGTTTGGATCATAGGAGAGAGCAGAATCCAGAAAGAAAAAGTATAAACAAAAATGAAAAAATGTGTCGCTAAAACTGAAGCCTTATTTTAAAGGAGACCTATTTCCACTTTCAATGCAAAGTCAGTCAACAGCATTTGCCAAAGCCTTTTTTTTTCTCTAAACTGATATTGGGAGCACAATTCTTATTAACAGATAAAGAAAACGTGGTACTAATTCTACAAGCACCACCCCACAATAAAAATCACATCAAACAATTCCGTACAATAAAACGCCTTGACTCAGTCTTTCTCATTCGTCCAAACATACCTACAGAGTTCAAAAGCAGGAAATAATAACCTAGAACTTATTCTTTTTCCCCCTTTTTAATCAGCAGTAGGTGGCTAGTATATGTCACTGCTTATGGCTATTAGTTTATTCAATCCAAACCATCTTTTAAAAGATTCAAAAGAACAAGTTAGAATTGCAAACATCAGTAAAATTTTACAAAAATTCATAGTTCCTATCAATACAACACAGAATTTAGGGCACACAGTCCATTTACGAGTCCAGACTGATAAAGAAGATCCTATTACAATGCAATTATTTGGAACCAAGTGGAGAATTTGGATATTAGAGGAATTTGGGGAAATTTTATTTCCTCCAAGGATGGAAGCATTTGCACTGTTTGTTGCCTTGGACAGTATTCTTACAGCAGATCATTTGAAGAAAGGTTTCAAGATGGCCAGCCTATACTACATGTGCATTGAGAGAGGCAGAAGTCAAGGCATTTCTTCATTCATTGAAAATCAGGGGCCTTTATATGGGGTTTCTTCTTTTCATTGTTCAAGTTTCAACCATTTCAACTGAGTAATCCTTAGGGAAATCTTCTGATTGACCACATCTGCAAGGGAGCAACAAGGCAATTTTTTTTTCTGCAGTTGTTACTTTTGTCATTTGCTGGGGGATTTGGAAAGAAAGAAATAAAATCCTCCACTTGCTGTTCTGTCTTTTCCTTTTTTGTCTCAATAAATTTTTCTTTGATCTACTGTCAACAAATATTTTTAATCTTTAAAGACACTTGATCTTAGCCAAAACCACAATTAAATGAGAAAAAGAAGCGTTGTAACTCAGACACTATTTCATATGTTCACAAGGTAAATTCTAACTCAAACAAATTGAATATACTGTCACATGGTTGCAAAAATCAACACAAACAGATTTCTTTCATATGTTCCCTTTTATTTCTAATTAACTTTGTCTTTCATAAGAGTTTTCTTTGGCTCAACAACCAGAGACAAACAGGTTTCTTTCTTTCTTTCTTTGATCATAAAAGTATAATTTTATTGAGGAAATAGAAAACAGTGTTGTATGTACAATGTATACATGTTTCTGTACAAAAATAAAGACCCATAATAGCAAAACAAAGCCAACTGAGGGGTGGCTCAGTTGGTATGGTAGTTGGTTCGTCCCAGCAGAGATGGGAATTCGAATCTCGCCACCACCAGATTTGGAGGGGGGGGGGGGCTAAGTGTGGTGCTGTGCTATTCAGGCATAACACCAAATACAGAAAAAAAAATCAAGAAATGAGCAGATTTCATGTTCTACTGTACTTAGACAACAAACATATTCGATGACATCATAGAAGGCCAGTTCCATGAATGGTCATTCATTGCTCAATGGAGACATGTGTTTCTTTTATGAAACCTAGAATGTCACAGCACATATTGTTGACAGTTTTCCCTGAGCCTTAAAACATGATGTTGTTGAAAGCAGTTTCTGTCATGTTATCTCTATGGTAATTGGTAAAGCACCAGCACAAATTTCTATGCCAAAGGAATTTTATAGACCTAATGTCCATGGTACTTGATGAAGTTTTCTCTATTATATATGTGGACCACAACAATGAAGTAAAGAAACTCCCAACATAAGGAGGAAATGATGTATTATTATTATCAACAACAATCATGTAATGAGCTGTCCCGATATGCCATTTATGATTTTATCATATACTTATTATTAAGCTATATGTATGTAGAATTCAGATAAAGTTACCATATATCCATGTTTTTTCTAGTTACATACCCACAGAGATGTCAAATTAGGAAATTAATTATCCAAACAAATTAGTTACCCAAGTTATTAATGGATATCCCTATGCTACATATGCTAGCTAACATCAATGAACAATTAAATCACCCATCAGCTCTTCATTGAGGCATTGGCTGAAGATGATGAAATTTCTCTGTTAATCATTGACCTCAGATACTGATCCCAAGGTTATGAAGTCCAAGGTCCTTCCACCTCTTGAGCAATTTCCCATTAAAGACCTCCTATTAAAAGGTCAGACTCAATGAGTTGGTCACCAGGTGTAGGATTTGTTGAGGATGAAGTACATGTGGTACATCATTTATCTTTTCTTCTTTTTTGTTTCTTTGTTTCTTCATTTCCTTCTTTTTATCTATTCTTTATCTTATTTTATTAGAATTCGATACAGAATAACCAAAAGAGATACCTGCCTATAGGGAGAATTAGTACTTACACATCCTCAACGAATTTCACTGCTAACATCACAGCAGTGATTAGAAGTCGGTGAACATTGAGGGAAGTGAGGTAAACATCTGTCTGTTGGAGGAATCTATCCATGTATATATATGCGACAACAAAGCAAGATGGAGTGCAGCCTGAGTACTTGAAGATGCGATCGATGTATTTCCGGATACTCATGGTGGGTGCTTTTAAGCCATGAAAGATTGTGATTGCATCTTTCTTCTTCATGGAATCTAATAACTTCTCATTCTTTTGAACAGATCTCTCAAGAAGCGAAGAAAGGAGTGGCAACACTAGAGGGGTTCCTGGAATTCCTTTGTCTGATTCAATCAGACCCAGAGATGAATAAAGCCCTAAGCCAACATCTTCAGTATGAAGTGCCAATGTTCCCATATCAAAACTGTGCTGCAATGGATACACAGATGATCATGATATTGCATCTCACAAATAAAGAACAGAGAACCATTAGGGTCAATCTTCTTGAACCTTCTTGAATATTCTCAAATATAAAGACATACTCTCAGTTTGGCTTATGCCTTTCTATTCTTCTCATGTTTAGTTGTGACATTGGATGTACAGTTGTACACTAGACAATACTCCTAAATCCACTATTAAAAAAAATCTTCTTAAACCAATTTTAATAACTTTATTTACTTTATTCACAAAAAAAAAAACTTAATATTACTTTTCTCTTTCTTTCAGGCAATTTAAGTGTGGATTTTGCACCTGTAACTTTAAGGGTGAAACAGAGATTTGCCCTAATTGGGCATGAATTTCTCTATGTCTTTATTGAATAGAAAACTGACAAGGAGAGAAATAAAAAACAAGAGTATAGTTCTCAAGGTGGCACCTAGGTGACAAGGTGCCCCTGGCATTATCATTATCATTATCATCATCATCATTATTTTTGTTGTTGTTGTTGTTGTTATATTAATAACAATTCTTATATTATTATTATTACTCCTTCTCCTAGGGTAAAAACAAGGGCTCAGCCCCTATATTTCTATGTTTTCTTATCTTTCTTCCTTTACTTCTCATAAATATGTTGAGTTTCCACATTTTTTAAATAAGATTTACTTGATTTTTCATAAGGATTATGGTAATTATTAGTCAAAGAATACTGCTGACTACTATAAAACCTAGGGAACTACCCCAGGATTTATGTTTTTTATTATAAAAAACTCATCGCCTAGGTAACAAGGGCCCTCTGTTGCCTAGGTTTTCCTTGGCACCTTGAAAACCATGAACAAGAATTAATTGATGAGATGTTCCAAATTGTAAAATAGTGTTGACTTGTGCGTTGAATTCCAGTTTGTGGCCCACTCCATGACTCAACCTGGCAATTTTTGCTGGAGAAGAACCCAAAGGGAAAATTTATGGACCAGACCTGTTTTGTGTTTATGGGCCTGAATTATACTTGTATGGTTTTCTCAAAATATGTATCTCATTGTATCAGCATGCGAACAGAGTGTGAAAGAGACAAAGTTTGGAGTTCAGGTATATTGGGGTTTAGGGTTTTGGGGTGTGTGTGTGTGTGTGTGTGTGTGTGTGAGAGAGAGAGAGAGAGACTGCTCAACCTTGTACTCTCCATTATTGTTTTCTTTAGTGGATTTTTGTTCCTCCATCACCTGTTGACATAGGCCAAAGGCCGGACAACATAAATCTGTGTCCTCCATTCTTCATCTTCCCTTCTCTTGCTTCTCAGTATCTTTATTTACTTTGTTTTTCTTGTGCCATTTGAATCCGTTGTTTCTGGGTTTTGCGCAACTAGTTATTTGGACAATGCCTTGATTTTCCATGACAAAAAGAAGGAAATGTTCGTGGTTAAAAATTTCTGGAAGAAATTTATTGAGATTGAATTCTCTAGCTGCAACCATTATGAGTCACAAAGAATTTTACTTTTCTCAGATGGTTGTAACATGCCCGAAGATAGTTCTGTAGGAATAGCTCTTTTTTTTCCTTTAGTTTGAGTATTCTTATTAACAGTATCAAAAGATTTACAAGGCTGACATGGTGTGTGGTGTGTGAATCATGTACATTACGCATTATCCGAAGATTGGTATATGAGGTTGCACCACTCTATACAAAAAAGTAGACCTTCAAAATCCTTTGGAATTGATGCCCAGAAAAAAAAAAAAGGCAACTGTTTTCATAAATGGTTGGCTTGTGTTTAAAAAACCTAAGGGAGTGAGATTGCAAAAATAGTGAGACACCAAAGGATTAACCTCTCTTGGAGAAGCCTTTTAAGTGGCCTTGCCTGAATCAGGGACATTTTGCTGCTACCCATTCTCTTTCAAACTACTTGATATTTTATAAGAATATGGGCACAAAAGCAATAAGTAGGCCGCTAATTCCCTGCCTTTATGACAAAAGTAGCATTTGCTCATAATATCTCTTTCTCCCAAGATGAGATGATTAATAGTAAGTACAAAACTACAAATTTGTATTGGCAATTATTTTGAAGGCATGCAGATGTAGTTGGCATTTGGCTGGGATGATTCCGTATTCAACTTAGCATTGTATATTATTTTGCTCAACATGGAAATATAGAAGCACTAGATAGGAACTGCAGCTAGTAAGAAGTGTTTTCAACTTTGGCCCTTGAACCAGTGATCTGGACAGCTAATCAAACCCAAACCCCTGTTTTTGACAGCTTTGGTCATTTGATTATCTCACCAAGGGAATCACCTAGTGGTAAAAAAGGAATTAGGGTGCCAAGAAAATCTAGTGGGTCATCTATGCATGGTCCAGTAAAACAACAGGGAGTTGCAGACTGTTGATTGTTTGGCAATAAAATCAAACTGCATTATTTCTGAAGGTGTGGTTCCTCCATTGGCACCATAAATCTTCATTTCTTTTTCACTTTTTTTTCATCATTGTTCTGTATCCAGTCTTCTCTCCTAAGACCCAGGTTGGCCAGCACCATCATTGGGCAATGGCCCTTCTGCTTACTTCATAGGGCTTATCATACATTTATTCTGCTCCGTCATTGCTGCTTCTGGTAAATACTAATCTCATTTTACCTGCTTTACTTGTTAGAAGATGGGATGAAAAAAGAAATGAAGGGAAAAAAATCTAGATCGACTATATAACTCCATCTTCCTAAGAAATCTCTTGGACCCGTCTTCCTAAGAAGAAGATGATTGTAAGTCGTTATGACTGATGAATGTGATGTAGTGGCAGTCAAATTCAAGCTAATAAGCACATCAACAAGCACAAATAGTAAAAAACAGAACCACCTAGAAAAAAAATCAAAAGGAAATACAGAAAATCAACGGACAAAAGTAAGTTCAATGAAGCAAATTAACCAAAATCAAACACCCATTCAGAAAATCGTATACAGCACGCGACCAACTAAGAAGCAAAAGCTCCAAATTCAACACGAGCACATAAGGAAAAGGATGAACAAATCAGAGTAAAGAATATAAGTTACAACAGAAACATAAAACCGGATGGGAAATCAAGAACAAAAAATAAAACCCAAATGACCAAAAATAAACTGCAGACCGTATCACGTATCTGACATTTCAATCACATTGGAAACAAAACGTAGCCACCCCCCAACCCCACCCCCAAATTAAAGGAACAGAAAATAGAAAGATATTTAGAAGAAGGTCTTACAGGTACAGCTTCCTGAGAGATCTCTAAAGCCTCTGTTTCCTTCTACATGAGCATCGGGCACGAAGAAGATACTCCAAAGACAGAACAAGTCATTGAAGTGTCATCATTCCCTTGCCCGAACCAGAGAGAGAGATTTCGACCCACAAACAAACAGAGAGAGTTTTCTATCTCTACTTTATTCCTCTGCACGTTTGCTTTGGTTTCGTTATCAAGGAGGATTTATTGCTTCACATGGAAGCTCCTATCGGCGGTTCCATTGTTAAGTGGGGAGAAACTTTTCATCCTTCGAAGAGGGCGGGACCTACACAGCTGCACAATGACAATCCGCATCCATCCATCACTGGATCCTGCGTTGCAGATGAGCTTCATATCCAGCATCCACAGCGCATTCTAGCGTATATATTTACAAAAAATCCGGATCTACGCCGTTAATGAATAAAAGTTCAAATTCACGAATCACGATCACGATTCACGAGTAATAGACATATTCAAGTGAGGAACCGGGAAACAAGAAAGGGGAGCCACCTCCCAGCTCCCGGGTTTAGTTGTCTCTGTTTGCCTCTCTCTTTTGGTTCAATTTCAGATCACGGTTTTCTAAAAACTGAAAAATCTATTTAGCTAGTGTGTTTAGTGTGTGTTGTGTTAAGTACAAAAAAAAAAAGGCTACGTGCCTGTGTTTAGAAAAATTTCAAATACTATTGTTTCAATGGGTTGGGCCGCATGGGTAATGGGTTGACCTCTTATCAAATCCGACTTGAAAATCCAGTTACTCAGCAAATGTCATATTTACGAAGATTTCAATATTTACTATGTCAAGCATGGTTTTCAAAACCGGACCGGACCGGATGGTCGGACCGGAAAACCGGGAACTGGTCAGGTGATCAGTTCTGGTTTTTCCCAAAACCGTTGATTTTGGTCAGCTAACCGCTGACCCGGGCAGTTAACCGTTCGAACGGTTTTGACCGGTTTTTATTTTTTTATTTTTTTCTAAATTTTTTATTCTTTGTTAGAACAGGACAACCGTTCGGGTCGAATGGTTGGACTGTTCAACCCGGTAACCGGACCCCTGACCAATTCGGCTTCTGAACCGGTTTTAAAAACCATGATGTCAAGTGCAAATCGGGCTGGGTTAGGTCAGGTTGAGGTCAAATTAAATCCAACCCTAAAATTTTGGGTTGGGTTTAGGTTACACTTGGATTAATTTTGGGTTGGGTTGATTTCTCTACTTTCTTTTGCCAAATCTATTTATTTCTTAGACTCCAAAGATACATGTTTAAGTCTTTAACTTGCTTTTAAACTTCAACCCAACCCTACGTTGGGTTCAGGCTAACCCGGCCAAAATTGCAGTAATAATGTCAACGGGTCAAGTTTGCCATGAGTTGCCCCTCAACCAAATCCCCAATTAAGGCTCAAACAACTCCAAGTCAAGTTGGATTTATCACTTCACCTGATTCCATCTTATAGAAAGCAACACATTAAAACTCAAGGCACATGGCCCCAATTCAATGATAGGCAGGTGATGTTGTCCGAACTGATGTGGACGAGGAATAGATATAAGTCCTGCTGAGTTGGAAGAACCAAACTGGGATTGTTGGAAGAGCTATGCTGAAGGAGGTGAATAGGATGAAGTGTTAGACACCGAATGACCAGCGAGTAAGTTGAGTCACAGACCCCGATGAGATTCTCTAAGGAAAGGCACCCTGATGCTCAAGTCAGTAAGAGTTGGGAAGGGCAGCTAGGCTGAGCTACTAAAGAATTAAGATGAACTGGTCGTAACCGAGCAGTGCTAAAGAGCAAGAGAACAAAAAAGTGAGAGGACTAGAATGTTGAGAGTGTGGAAGAAGGGAATATCTCATGAGTCATTCGCTTAAATGCCCACCAGAGAGTGTCACTGTGCTCCTCACTTCCAGGTAAGGGCGGAGCCAAGTATATTGGTGGGGTCCTTGGCCTCCAAAACTTTAACTAAAATGCAGAGGATCACTTTCTAACACCTCCAACTCCCAACTCTACCTCCTCTACTCTCTATCTCATTTTTTTGTTAAACTTGACCCCCCCCCCCCAAAAGAAAATTCTTAACTCTGCCACTGCTTTTAGGGACGTGTGGCATTGCCCAAGGTTCTCGGACAGTTCCCACACTCCTTGGCATGGGTGGTTCATTGTTTGCCATGTGCCCCACTTCCATCTGGGGTTTTCATTGGGGGCGTGACCATAGGTTCCAACATGTAGTGTTTTACATTGTCGGCTCGGACGAGGATGTGGCTTAGTTTTTAGGCCACGTCAATGTTCGTGTGGCAAGCAAGATACGCCGAGGTACAGTTCCGACACCAGAAATTAGGGATGTTAATGGGTCGGGTTTTGAAAATCTAAAGCCATTAACACAACATTCAATACATTTTGGCGTATTTCAACCTATTCTGGAACAAGCCACAACAAAGCACGTTCTTGTAGGGGTGTGGCTCATTCCAGAACGAACTATACCTGGTTTTGGAATGCAAAATCCCGTGCCAGTCCAGCCATGCTAATTCCTCATGTTCCCAAAGGCACCACACCCCTCCTCTATGTTTATCTGTTATTCCAGCTTCTCACTATAGTGTAGAATATATTTTTTATTATGACTTGCCCTAGAACACACCACCCTACAGCCTACAGAATGCATGGTGCATTTTGATACGAGCCTTTTCTAACCACCTTATTCTAGAATGCACCATGCTAGTGTGGTGTGTTTTGAGATAGTTCACATCTGCGCCCTACAATACTTTATAGTAGGGGTGATCATGGGCCGGGCTTTGCACTTATGATAAGGGTTATAGCTTAGGCCTGGGCCAAGACCGGCCCAGGGTTCCGGGCCTGAAACATAAGCCCTTGTCCAGGTCTATACAGGCCCGGGCTAGGTCGGGCCTAATTCCAGGCCAATGTCACTCATACATAAAACATTATATATCTATATATTAAATAACATAACATGCATATAAACTTATTTTATACATTATATAATATAAAATATTACATATAACATAAATTATACATATCATGTTATAATATTTATATATATAATAATAATATAATGTATACATTATACACAAAATGTGTAAGTTTGAATATATGCGGGCCGGGTCGGGCTTGAAGTATTAAGCCCGAGCCCAACCCTAAAATTTGCGATACTGATGTGGGCCTGGGCCCGGGCCGGGCCTGAACACAAAACCCAAGCCCAAGTCCAGAATTTCCGAGCCAGGCTGAAATGATCACCCCTACCTCACAGTACATCCCGACCTATACTTGTTTCGGGAGATATTCCCAATACAAGGCCGAGATGTGCTGTGGGCTGCAGATGTAAACTCATTTTGAGATGAGCCTTTTCCAACCACAATACAGAATAATCCCTAATTTAAGTTGGAACTAGTGTTATGGGTTCTGAGGTGTCATTTTTTCATTAAAAAATAAGAAAAAATAAAATCAACACAAAAAGAAATCATAAACTTTAAGACTATAGAATTAGAAGTAAATAAAAAAAGTCATATATTATAGGGGTATCATGACCTGATGGGATGGATCAATCAAAACCCGAATCCAATTTGGGTTAATGAGTCAAAATCCTTACCCAAACCCTAAACCTAAATGTACCTGATAAGTTAGATTTATCGTTTAACCCAATCCAGTGACATCCCTAGAGGAACTATCGTGAGGTCCACTACCCCAATGTACACCCATCAATGATCACATTGAATCATTTTTTCAAGTTCAAATCAACCCCCCACAATGTCCCACATCACATCTCTGCCTTGTATTGGGAACATCTCCCAATGATGATATCATCATTTTTTATATTATCATTGAGAAATGTTACCAATATTACCAATACACGACGGGGATGTGCTCTGGTAAATTGTGGGGGACAATTTTTTGAGGGGCTGATTTGATCTCCATTTTTTCATTATATAGAATAAAAAACTACTTAACTATTTTATCATACAAGTGTTTATCATGACAAAATAACACACAATAAAAAAGAAAGAAAATAAAAGAATATTGGTGTACCTACCTGAATGGCTTGAATTTTGATGACATGAGTGATGGATGGCAGGTCAAACTTCACCAAGGAAATATATAAAGAAAAGCAAATATGCCTAAAATAAGCAAAATGCCTTAAAATTTTTCCATTTAACAAATCAAACATAACCTCAACGTACGATTGGTACAACAGAGTTGCAAAGTGGAATCTAGGCAATGGTGGAAGGAAAATGTCCATGTCAGCCATTTTTGCCCATTACACATCAATTTCAGTCCAACCAAAGAGATAAATGAGGGGTCCAGCATATACCCACCGGAGGGAGATGCCCACATTATGTGAGTAAGGACATCGGGTGGATGGAACTTGGAAGAAATATAAGTACTTTTCTTGCAATCCACTCAAAATGGTTAATCATTATTCATAAATTAAATGAATATGTTGTTTTTTTTTTTTGCATATTTATTGGTTAGAGATGGAAAAGGAGGCTTTTTTTTTTGGTGGAAGAATTGAGGTTATCTTTGTATCAATGTATTCGAACCATAATTGATTCGGATGGTTGGATCGTTCAAGCAATCGATTCCATTTTACTTCAAATTTGATTTTTGGCCAAAAATCATTGAATTGATCAGCGACCCACTAATTTGGACGATTGAATTATTGACCTGTTCAACAGTTTTTGACTGTTTTTTATTTTTAAATTATTTTTAATTTTTTATTAAAATGGGCTGTCCATTCGAATCGGACAGTCAAACTGTAATCAATATTTAAAATGTGGAGTCACGTTCATGTTGTGTATGTAGCTTCTTACAAACAGCCAAACTTTTTTCAACATGAAAACAAAGAAATTTGTGGAAGTTTCAGTCTAACTCCTCAAAAACTCTATTTTCTTTTATATTTTTGATTGGGAAAACATGGTGGTAGAGAGGAGCATTGATAATAGACTTCGATTGAACCAGGTGGTTGAACCACTTGAACGAGGAAGTGACAACAGAGGGTTTTGGATGCGTGGAAAGTTTGATTTGGTCAAAATTACCCTGGATACATGCATTAGTATTAGGGGTGTTCACAGTTCAGTTTAGGGGTGTCGATTGGACTGGATTTGGTCCAATCCGATTCAGTCCAGTGTGAGTCCACTACAAATGGACCAGGTCCAATTCAATCCAATGAATAATTTAGACCATTTTGGATCGGTCCAATTCAATGTTTGGACCGTCCAATTTGTTCAAATTCATTTTAATTTAGATTGGTTTCAATCCAAAACCTGTTCATTGACACCTATATTCTTATCTTATATTAATGAACCGGATATTGGCTTAATTCAACTAAATCCAATATAAATTTATTACAGACGGACCAGGTCCAGTCCAATCTAATAAATATTTTAGACCAGATTGGTCCAATCCACTATGTCTTTTTGATCCGTCCAATCTGTCCAAATTGATTTTGGACTGGATGGGGTCCAGTCCAAAACGGTCCATTGACACCCTTAGTTCAGTAAATCAAACTATATATGAGCTTTTTTTAAGCTGAACTGGTATTATCAGTTTTTGGAAAATTATGAACCA